ATATTTTAACTTTTTTTTGTAGTGTTGTCCAGTTTTACCTTGGGGAAGAGCACCTCATTTCGTTGCACCCACTTGTGAGCGCAATGACAAATAAATTTCTTATGTCTTATGTCTTATGTCTTTCTCAGGCCATGAATTTCATCAGCTTGAGTTGGCCTAACCATGGCTAAGGAATGCAGGGAGATACACTTGTAGTTTTACAGCCTCGCATGCTGCCTGGAGTCTGTTTGGCTGGGGTGAACCTTTCTGGCATGAGGTGATTGTCAATCAATCCACTGCTGGCCAATCATTCCTTCCAACCTCTCAATTTAAAGAAAACCTCATCTCTCTGCTGAGTGTTCCCTCTGTTTTGTCTGTTGGAGAATGCATGTTTATTTGCTGTACCCAACGTTAAGTAATAATACATTTTAATTTTTTTACTAGCGAAGTCTTGGTATTAACAACAAATGCATACTGAAACAATATTCAACTAACTCAGCAGCTCCCACAGGTTGACAGGCAGTAAAGCTCTTTTAAGCAAGACATAAAATCCCTGTGAGTCTTGCACTAGTACTGATGAGATTAGTAATTTTTAGACAATGGACCAAGAGTAGATGCGTTTTTTAATTTATTAACATCCAAGAGTAAATCCAGAAAGACACATGGTACTTCAGATATATTACATTATCAATGCAACTTTTAACTGTACCAGGCAAACCCTAAATCAAAGCAAGAGTGATTAAATTTTTATTTCATTTTCAACATGTACAGCACGGACTCATTTCTGTTCTAGAGTATGGAATGTTTTTGCACCAGACCTGTGATTGGCCAAATGCTCCACCACGTTGGCTCTCCAATAGAGATTATGTGTGATCCACCAATGTGTTTTAGCAATTCCAAGCAGGAATCTGTATTTGCTTACAATCCCTGCAAAAGAACAAAGGTTACGAGAGGCCAAGAAACCAAGATCAAATCTCTCACTTTTTGGCACGAGAATATCTTTAAATTCAAAATCTTCAGGAAAATCCACATCACTTTGTGACAATTCTCTAATTGTACAAAACTGTAATATTTTAGCAAAATATTAGCTAAACGTTAGCTGCCTTAGGAACATTCCTCCCTTTATTGGGATGAAGGTGGGGTATCGGTAAAATGAAGAAATGAATGAATGAAGGTCTCACACTGTGGGGGCTTGTATACTTTTTCTCGAGTGTGAATTCTTAGATGGTTCACTAAATTTGAACTATGAGCAAAGCATTTGCCACACTCCACGCATTTGTAAGGTTTTTCTCCTGAGTGGACTCTCTGATGACACACGAGGTCTGCCTTGCGAACAAAACATTTCTCACACTCCTGGCATTTGAACGGTTTCTCTCCTGTGTGAACCCTTTGATGCTTCATTAGGTTTGAATTATGAGGAAAACATTTGCCACACTCCAGGCATCTGAATGGTTTTTCTCCTGAGTGGACTATCTGATGACTCCTGAGGGCTTTCTTGCGAACAAAGTATTTCCCACAGTCCTGGCATTTG